AAGATTGGAGGATCAAATTCAAAGCTAGCCTGGGCAGACAAATCTCTTGTCTCCAATTAACCAGTAAAAAACCAGAAGTAGAGGTGTGGCTCAAGTGGTAGAGCTCCAGCCTTGAGTGCTCAGTAAGATCTTAAGGCTCTGAGTTCAAATTGCTATACACACATACATGCACACACACATATGCACACATGGTGGGCAAGTCCACCTTAGCCTGGCTGGTTGGTTTGGGGCTGAGCTTGCAGCTCTAGGAGCCCTGGGGAGGGTGAGTTAAGACCCCCAGCTGCTTGTGGGGTCAGGTAGGGCATATGCCAGAGCTCTGGGGACCCCAAAGATCAGTGCTGGTTAACCCAAGGTGCTGTGCCACGAGCCCCTGCCCTGCTAGCCTTGGTTTCCCTATCTGCATGGGACAGCTGGCGCCACCTGCGCGGGAGTCGGGACAGGTGCCTGCCTCCCTGGGTACGGGAGGGACTCCTGCCCTTTCACCAACCTACCCGCTCCTCCTGGGCTCTGGAAGGCACAGCTGGCCCACCCTGCCCAGCCCCCAGTGCCAGCACTGCCTTCCCTGCAAGGTGGCTGTTCTGGCCAACCAGCGTAGCTTGGCTCCCTTCCACTAGCATTGTCTGTAAAACAAAATACAGCAAAGTACAAAAGATAGCATAACAAATACCTGCCTCTAGGAGCAGGGCGCTCCACCGCTTACCCGATTTCCTGCAGTTCTCCTTTCAAGAGCTGCAAACACTTGAGGTAAAGCCAGATCTCTTTATGTCCTCCTTCCCTGGCCACCCCCAGGTGCCTGAGGAGTTGGGGTCCCGCTTGGGTGGTGTCTAGGCCTCGGGCTGAGCTCCGCAGGGATGTGTGTGTGCCGCTGCGGTGGCTGCTGGGACCTGAGCTCACATAGGCTCTTGGCAAACTGATACCCCAGAAAGTCTCCCGGGGAGGGGGGGGCGGGGAGGTGGGCCTGGTCTGTCCTTTCTTTATTTCCTTGTGCCAGTACTAGGGAGGAGTTTAACTAAGGGCTTTTGGGTGGTTAATCAGAGAGAAGAGGCTGACTTGGAACTGATCCTCAACCCTCAGAGGCTTCCTGATTGGCCCAGTAGGGTGAGCCATCAGCGTCAGGTTATTAGAAGTCCTTGGGTGTTAGTGTGGCCCTGGGTCAGGCCTCTGCCTGGGCTGGGGGCTGAGCTCGGGGAAGGGGAGACGGCAGGATGGCAGATGAAAGGCTGAACGGGCGGAAGAGAGCCCGGCAGTGTGTGTGACCTCGCGTGGCTCCCTTGTCTCTCCCGCAGCCAAGTACCCGGCCATCAAGGCTCTGATGACGCCAGACCCGCAGATCAAGTGGAGGGTGCTGGTGCTGGTGCTGTCGCAGCTGCTGGCCTGCTGGCTGGTGCGCGGGCTCGCGTGGCGCTGGCTCTTGTTCTGGGCTTATGTGTTTGGTGGCTGTGTGAACCACTCTCTGACACTGGCCATCCATGACATCTCACACAACACCGCCTTCGGCACACGCTACCCTGCCTACAACCGCTGGTTTGCCATCTTTGCCAACCTGCCCATCGGCCTGCCCTATGCCACCTCCTTCAAGAAGTACCACGTGGACCACCACCGCTACCTGGGCGGGGACGGGCTGGACGTGGACGTGCCCACGCGGCTGGAGGGCTGGCTCTTCTGCACGCCGGCCCGCAAGCTGCTCTGGCTGCTGCTGCAGCCCTTTTTCTATTCACTGCGGCCACTCTACGTGAACCCCAAGGCCGTGACCCGCATGGAGATCCTCAACGCCCTGGTGCAGCTGGCGGCGGATGTCACCATCTTTGCCCTCTGGGGGATCAAACCTGTGGTCTACCTCCTGGCGAGCTCCCTCCTGGGCCTGGGCCTGCACCCCATCTCGGGCCACTTTGTGGCTGAGCATTACATGTTCCTGAAGGGCCATGAGACCTACTCCTACTACGGGCCCCTGAACTGGATCACCTTCAACGTGGGGTATCACATGGAGCACCATGACTTCCCCAGCATCCCGGGCTGCAACCTGCCCCTGGTACGTGTGCTGCGGGGCCGGGCAGGGATGAGGCGGCCCAGGGCTGTGTGGGAGCCCAGGGAAGGGCCCCGGGTTGTGCCCAGCCTGCCTCTTCCTTCTGGAACTGGCCAGGGGATGGTCATTGTCATTCCCAGTGGCAGGGCTCTCCCCTCCCTTCCCTCTCCTCCCTGTCAGAACCCGTGCCCCGGCCTGGCTGGAGGGTGAGGCAGACGCGGGGAGGCGGCTGTGGGCGCCTGGTCTGACGAGGGCTTGTGGAAGCACAGTGGCTGGCTGTGCGTCTCAGGCCGGCTGCTGCCCACTGTCCCCCAGCGTCCTCTTGTTCAAGGAGAGCTTTGCATCAGTGAAGACATCTCTCTCCCGACTCCTGACACCTGTGCATATCTTGTCACAGCCTGTGGCGCTGCAGGGGCCTCCTCAGCCCAGAACTGGCTGTGCTCGGGCAACCTGGGGCCTGACTTGAGTCTCAGGAGGCCGAGAGGGGTGCCCTCAGTCACCCCTGGTCAGGGCTGACACTCTGATGGCACAACTGAGGTGACCCAGTAAGGGGGCAGAGGCCATGGGAGAGGCTGGGGGGGGGGGGAGGTCTGTAGACCCTCTGTGCATGTGGGTGTGCTGCACGGCTCTCTAGCAATGGTGCCAAGGCTGTGCCGGCCCCACCTCAGCAAACCTCTCCCCTGGGCAGAGAACAAGGGGTGGCTGGGAGGAGGAGGGCACTTGTGGGATGCAGTGTCGAGACAGAGTCTGGACCCAGCAGCCATGGAGAGCGTCTGCTGAGCGCCAGTGCAGGGAGAGCTGGCTGCCTGCTGGTGCCTGAGTGCCGCCCCTCATCTGCCGTCTCCAGTGACGCAGGGCCCCCGGGCTGCAGGCAGAGGAAGGGCGTGTGGTGAGGGGCTGGCTGAGAAGCGCTGATGGGAGCCGAGGCTCAGGGGGTGTAGAGCTCTGCAGGTGATGGCAGGAGGCCCCACGGGCTCCGCCTTTGCCTTGGATGAGGAGGTTGCTGGGTTCTGGGGTGGGGTGAGTTTTGAACTCCACTTCCACTTGTGGGAGGGACTCAGGCACTCTGGCTGAGGCATGGCCCTGATCTTGCCCCTCTCCACAGGTGCGGAAGATTGCACCCGAGTACTACGACCACCTGCCGCAGCACCATTCATGGATGAAGGTACTCTGGGACTTTGTGTTTGAGGACTCTCTGGGGCCCTACGCCAGGGTGAAGCGGGTGTGCAAGGTGGCGGATGACCGCCTGTGAGCCGCTGCCCCTCTGCCGCAGCTCAGAGCTGTGCCCCCTGCCCGCTGCGCCCAGAACTGGTTTGGCTGTGCTGGTTCCCGTCCCTAGGCTATTGCTTTTGGTCCTGCCGAGCCCCAGGAGTTGCCATCACAGCTCTGCCCAGCAATGGCAGACACAGGCCCGGCGTGGTGCATCTGTGCAGACTCACCCGGGCTCTTCTGGGCCTCCCTGGGCAACGCCAGCCCTGCTTGGCTGTGGGCAGTGCTCTGTCCCCGTGGTGTCTGTGGCGCTGGCTTCTCTGGTGTTCTTGTGCCCCAGATTAAATTCAGCACTTGTCCTCAGCCTGTCCACTGTGCTTCTGAGGGATAGTATTGGCTGGAGCTTGGGCTGCCAGGGTGTGAGGTCTAGAACCCAGGAGGTGGCATCCAGCCATACCCCAGTCCCGCCATGCTCGCCTCACCCTTTGGAGGGCAGTCTGTGGCACAGGCATTTTCTGGGGGCTCTTCCTGGGTGGACACAGGTAGAAGGTCCCTCTGTGCCTGCAAGTTCCAGGAGCAGCTGGGAGCCCCTGACTCCAAGTTCCGCAGACGCCCTGCTCCTTGGGCCTGCCCCATGTCCCCGGGCCTTTCATTCTTTGGAAGTCCCCCGCCTGAGGCTTAGGTTCAGAGGAGCTTCAGAAGCTCCGCACAGAACCTAGGCCAGTGCCAGATGGGTGGCTGGACAGACAGGTGGCCACAAAGGTGGCACAGCTCGGGGAGCCAGGCTGGGCACTGGGCTTGGCATTTGTGAGGGGACCACGAGGCTCTGTCCTGTCTGCAGCGTAGCTGATGGTACAGCTGGCAGCACAGGGAGGCGGCCTCTGCTTAGCAGGATGGTCTTCAGGGTCCAGGCTGGGGTCGGTCTTCAGGGTCCAGGCTGGGGTTGGTTTTGGTGTCCAGCACAGGCAGGCAGCAGTGGGGTGTGGAGTGATCCCCTCCTTGTCAAAGGAACAGGTGTGGGGCAGCCATACAGAGCCCATGGCAGCCCTGGGCCAGGCTGAGGTGCAGAGCTGGCAACAGTGCCCGCCACAGGTGGAGGCAGCCGTGGGAAGGCTGGGGAGGATGCACAATAGCCTGGCCCTGGGCACAGGAGGCGCCTCTGGTGCCTGGCACCAGAGCCCTTCAACAGTGCAGATGCCTGGCCGGGTCTGAGACAGGACTTTGAACGGAGGTAGGCGGCCCCGCCCTGGTAGCGCAGGCCAGCCTAGCAACTGGGAAGAGCCCAGAACCCCCTGCCAAGCCTGCCCCTGGCCTTGGGAGCTCCTGGGAGTGCAGCGGTGCCCGCACAGGGCCAAGTCCAGGCTTTACCACAAGCCGGCCTAGGGCTCAAGGGTGGCTCTGAAGCGTGCCCTGGATTGTGCCCAGGAGGCCCAAGGCAGGGTCCTGGGGTGGGGAACAAAGTAGAGGCTATTAGGCTGTGGACTCGGCACCCTGGCCAGGCTGCTTAGGGCTGGGCCTCGGCTTCTCAACTCAACAGATAGCCTGGTCCTTCCTGTTAGGTTGATGGGAGTACCCAGCTAGACTGAAGTACAGGGGGCTGGGCCGGGGAATGCCAGGAGTCAGCCAGACCAGGCCTGCAGCAGCTGGACTATGGGTGGACCTCAGCTGTGACTGCAGGAGGTCACCTGGGACCATGGGGAATTCCCTGCGGATGCTCACAGGGCATCCAAGAACCAGCAAGACAAAGAGAGAGCCAGAGGCAGGACCCTCACGTGTGGACAGTAAACAGTTTATTACTGAGTGGACAGAACACGCACTGTGTGGACAGACTGTTAACACGACTGCCGGGGGCAGAGCTGCGTGGGAAGGCCACGCCGTGCCGGCGGCTCACTGCCAGCTAAGGGGCCAACAGTGTCACCTAGGAAAAAACTTGGAAACCATCTAATGAAGCAGGTGACGGGGTGTCCTCTCTATAAACCGAAAAAAATGTACACTTAAATAAGCAAATATAAAATACAAAAAAGAATAGACCTGGTGTTCTGTGTCAGGTAGAAGCTAAAAAAATCCAGGAGTTGAACTCTGTTCCTCATTTTGCTATTGTATCCCAGGCTGAGATTCTTAAACGAAGCACATCCCAGCTTGAGTGCCAGCTTCCGGTGTGTGCGGAGGCCTGTGGCCACAGGGAGCCTCGCTGTCCTCCATGGCTGGTGGCCGCCTTAGGTGGTGCTGATCCCACTCAGCTCCTGCCTGATGGCTGTGGGCAGGACGGAAGAGGGCACTCAGGTACAGCGGCGACCTGCCCCCCTCATCCTGAGCCTGCTGCCAACCTGCCTGACGACTGTCCTCCCCAGCTTAGGCTCCCAGAAGCCCCCAACCCAGACTGCAGTGTATGTGTGAGTGTGTGAGACTCAGGGCATAGGCTCAAGGCCCAGTGGAACAGCAGCCTGGGACATACCTCTGGGGAAGCGACAGTCCTTGTGGGTCGCATGGGCAGTTTGTGCTGGAGTCCCTGTCAGGGGAGGCGCTAGCCAGGGCTAGGGAGGCATCTAGGTCTGCCTGGAGTTCCTCGAGCCCTTCTCCCAGCGCTGGGCTCTGCCGTGCAGTGGCACAGAGCCTGTAGAAGGGCAGGGCTTTCTCTCCAACACTTTCCTGTTCTCTCCCAGCCTCTCCCTGAACAACTCCTTCTCCTGCCCACTTCCACCCCTATCCTCCCTCCCACCCCCTGCCAGGGCTCCCCCTTGTCCCCTTCCATGTTGGCTTGGCCTCCCGAGGACAGTCCTCCAGAGGCTGGAGCCAGCAGGAGGGCGGGGGGGGGGGGTGGCCGCTATTAGGAGGGGGTGTTTGGGGCACAGGCACAGCCAGCTCCCCCAGCACTCTGGGCTGTGGCAGGGAGGCTCCTAGGGCCCACAGGTGCTGACAGGTCAGGGATCTATGGCTCCCACTGCCTGCTTTCCTCCCTAGCTGGCTTCTGCTGAGCCATCTGGCCAGGCAGCCGTGCCTCTGGCCTGAACTGGGTTCTGACTTAGCCCCGGCCCAGAGGGCTGGAAGGGAACCACTCCTAGGCTGGGTTACTCCAAGTAAAGCCCCAGCATCCGCCCTTGTGGCTCCCACTGGCTCCCCCTCCTTCTTCATTAATGCCCCATCTCCTGCCCTGACTGCAGCCCAACTGATAGACAGGGACGTGGTGCTCTGGCTGGCAATGGTGTGGCCAAACTGGGGGGAGGAGCCTGGGGAGCTGGCTCCCAGCCCACCCCCTGGGGGCCCTCTCCCTCTGGAGTCCGCTATGGGTGAGGCTTCATCCTGTCCCCTGTGGGGGAGAGGCGACCGTGGCTGGTGCCTGCTGAGCCCAAACCTTCCCTTTCCTCTGGCTGCAGATCTGAGCTGCGACCTGAGGCTGCTGGGTCCGGAAGGACTGATAGGATGTGCGGGCCCCAGCCTGCTCTCTGGAGCCAGAGGCTCCTTTGTGGGGGAAGCACTGCGTCCCTCTCCAGCACAGGGCCACGTGGGCTGCGAGCCTGCTGCTCAGGGGAAGATGGGAGTCTTGCCAGAGCTCCGAGGCCACACTGGGTGTGGCCGATGAGAAAGGCAAGGGGACCCAACAGACAACAAAGGAGCAGAAACTCAGAAGACAGCCACTGACTCCCCTCCTGGGGGAAACGCAGCGGGCAGAACCTCAGGCCCAGAGCGCATCCCTAGGGAGCCACGTGTTCTTAGCCAAGTCATCTGGCTCTTGGGCACCTGTTTCCATAGTGACTAGGGAGGGTGGGGAGACACAGTCCTCTTGGGTGTTATGTGGCCTTGGATCGCACTGTGCGTGGCCTGGCAGGTGCCACTCTGGTGAGCCTCCCTGCCCTGAAGCCCTGCTGGTGGCATCCCAGGCCAGCGAGGCCCACTCACCATCAATGATCTCCTCCTTCACCTTGTGCAGCTCACGAACTACCTCCTCCAGGATCTCCTGCAGGGCAGAGGATCTGGCGATGAGGCAGGAGGACCATGGGGGATGACGAGAGGGGCCTCGGGAGATGGGCAGTGGGGGGTGGGGAACAGCGCCCACAGGAGAGATGTCTGGAGGAACCTCCCACCCAGCCCCCCGCCCCCCTGGAAACCCTGCTTTTGCTGTCACCCAAGTCCACTCTAAGACCAAGGCTGCCCATGGGGAGGGGCAAGGGCAAGCGTGGACACCTCAGAAAGGCAGAGTCACCTTTGTTCTGGCAATGGCAGTGGCTGGTGCAACGATGGACGTGTGTCCAGCCTTCCCACCACTGTCTGCCTGCCAAGCGTGTGCTGCCCAATTCGGCCCACCAGGTACACTGACCACAGATGCTCGTGACCAAGGGAGGGGCACTCACCTGTTTCATCCGGTCCAGGTCGAAGGCATCCAGGGCCACGTCATTCACACTCCCAGCAGGCTTCACCCTAGGAGAGGAAAGGCAGCGTGGGGAGGGCAGCAGGGCTGCGGGCTGCCTCTCCCTGGGCCTTCCTGGGCCACTGCAAGGTGCCTGATGGATGCAGGTGCCTTCTCTGTGGATACTGTGACCATATTTCCCAGCCCAAGAGTCAAGAAGTGGAGGCTGGCAAGGTGTTGTCTTCGGACTTGAGGGCAGAGAAGGCAGCCCCGAGCTCCTACTGCCTGTACCAGAAGCTTCCTCAGCATGGGGTTTGTGTTCCTGGCTGAAAACTGGCACTATGCACAGCATGAAGCTCAGCCGGCCTTGCAGCAGCTCCGCTGGGGTGGCTGCACAGGCCTGTAGCTCATTCCCCAGTACAGGTCCTGGGACTCGTGTTTGCTCATTTGAGGCAGGCTTTTTTTGGGGGGGAAGTAGAGCCTATAGGAGATGGGGGAACCTGGCCAAGTTCTGTCTTTTCTCATTATTGTTGTGATTATTATTTACTTTATTGTTATCATAAAGGTGATATACAGAGGGATCATAATTACACGAGTCAGGTAATGAGCGCATTTCCTTTTGTACAGTGTCTTCTGTTCCCTCATTCTCTCCCAGTCCCATTTCTGTAAAAGGTTGGGAACTAAGGTCAACTGACTTGAATTTCAACCTCCCTGGAAAATCTTAGCCCAATACTTGTCAAACTACTTGGTCTTTCTGAACACCATGAAGAGAACAGCTGCTGAACTCCATGGTGCCAGGAAACAAATACAGCCTGAGTCAGGAGGAGTGGCTGCTGAGGGTCAACACCCAGATTAGGACTGGCTGGTAAAGCAGTAGCTGAGGAGTGTGGATGAGAAACGAAGTGCCCTTGACCCTCCTGATGACTTAGGATGCCAGGTGCATCCTGAGCAGTTCTGGATCTGGTGAGGCCGAGGCCTCCTCTGCAGGTTGCAGGCTCTGGGTCAGCATACCCTCAGGGAAACCAGGCCAGCTCTCCTGTGAACCTGAGAGCCGCCTGGGATGAGCACTTGTCTGGCACAGGGGCTGGCCCCTGTGAGCCTGGCCCTCTGAGCTGGCGATCTTGGTGGTGTTGTTCCAAGTGGGAACAGTCGACAGTGTTCCCATGGAGGGAGGGGCTGGAGCACAGCAACCACGTGTGTGTAGTGTGTAGTAGCAGGCAAGGACAGCCGTCCTGGAGACTGTGGGCTGGCCTCTGGGTGACCCTGACACTTCCCTCTGAGAGCCATAGTGAGCTCTGAAGTACTCAAGCTTCCTGGGCAAACTCCAGCCATACTGGCTTCTCTCTGAGCATGCCAGATTGGTTATGGCTTGGCATAATCACTGCCATCCCTTAGGCTTGGAGGCTGTCCCCCAAGTCCCCACAGAGCAAGCTCCACCTGCATCCAGACCCTTCCTTCAAGCCCGCATGTATGGCTGCGACATCTAGCCCTCTGCCTTCTCCAGAGCCGCCGAGGAGCTCCTGCTGCCCCTGGCTGACCATGGACACTGCTCCCTGTCCACCTACTTCAACTATAGCCAGGCCTGCTAATCACCTGGCTTCACTCTGCGAGACTGTCCACACTACCTGCTCTGGGACAAGAGCTGTTTTTTTCTTTATCAGTCATGGAACTTGAACTCAGGGCCTGGGCGCTGTCCCTGAGCTATTTTGCTCAAGGCTAGTGCTCTACCACTTTGAGCCACAGCTCCACTTCTGGTTTTCAGGTGGTTAACTGGAGGTAAGAATATCATGGATTTTCCTGTCCAGTTTTCAAACCACGATCCTCAGATCTCAGCCTCCTGAGTAGCTATGATCACAGGCATGAGCCGCTAGCACCCGATTAGAGTTACTTTTTAACTAGGTGGGCTCTGGATCCCTTCAATTGTGGCAGACTTGTCTTAGGTTACTGTGGGGGCAGTTCAGCTCTGACTTTTGGGGCGAGCTTATTGAAATGTTCTATGCTGCTGTCCCGCAAGCTTTTGGTTTGGGAAGCATGGTCAAAGTACCGGTGGGGAGACCGGCTGGGTATGCTGCAGGCAGAGGAAGAGGACCAGGACCAGGCCGCAGGGGTGAGGGCTGAGGGCGGCAGCTGTGGCTAGTAAGTGCCTCAGTGCCAGCAGTCCACATAGCTGTCTACGGCCAGCTCAATCACTTCCCTTGTGACACCAATTCTGTGCCTCCTTGGAAGCCATCTCTCTCCTAGTCCTCAGCCTGCCCTTCACAGGGAGGAAGAAGCCCGCTCAACCACCAAGTCCCTCCAGCTCCACCATACCATCCCTGCTTTGAGAGCAGGCCTCCCTTCCCAAAGCAAGCTGTTAATGCCAGGGCGTGAGACTGGGCTGGGGTGGTGTTAGTCAAGGATGGGGAACAGAGGAGGATCCGGAGCCTGGGAATACGTGGGCAGGAGGGTTGTTCGGTACCTAGAGTAGGGCTGCGACTGAAGGGGACTCTTAGCTTCGGGGCTCTTTGCCACTGACGGGGTTCTAGGGCAATGGAACGAAACAGACATGTGAACCCGTGCACTGGTGCCCGCCTCTGCCCACCAGGTCATCTCTCTGCAGTGCAGCTCACCTGGACAGCAATGAGGACACAGGCTTCTCCACCGAGCTGCTCCGCTCCCAGGGTTTCCGGCCAGCCTCTGTTGATTCATTTCGTGCATGAAAAGCCACAGAGCTGAGGATGCAGGGCCATCCCAAACCCACCCCATGAAGGCGCCTGCCTATTTTGAGGGTGATGAGCTCAGAGTAGAGCTGCAATCTGGCTCCCCTGGCCCAAGGGCACATAGTGACCCCATCTTCAGTTCTAATTCACGCTGTCTGACAATTTGTACACGAGTAGGCATGCGCCATGACCCTGTGGTAGGCGGGCAGGAGCCTGACTGCCCATATGGGGTAAACTGACCCCTCCTCTGGCCTCTCTTACCATGCTCACCAACACCGGCCTGGTACGGCAGACACTGAACATGTGCTTGTCCAACAACCAGTTCCTAGGTCTTCTCCCACTACTAAACCTCATCACTGTCTAACCATATCCCCTCTGCTGCAGCTAACTGGAGTGACCAGGGCAGGGGCGGGGGCTGTGTCTATGTTGGAGCAAGACTGACTAACACCTGATTAAGCTGGCATTACATTGGAGATATGAATCCTGACATTAGACAGGGGTGTGCTTAGTGGGCGGGTGCTTGCCTATCATGCGGCTCTGGGTTTGAGCCCCAGTACTGCAGAAAAAAAAATACATCATAAGCTGGGTGCCGGAGGCTCATGTCTGTGATCTTGGCTACCCAGGAGGCGGTTCAAAGCCAGCCCAGTCAGGAAAAGTCCATGAGACTCCAGAAAACCACTGTGGCTCAAGTGGTAGAGCGCTGGCCTTGAGCTGAAGAGCTCAGGGACAGCAACCAAGCCCAGAGTTCAAGCCCCACAATGGACAAAACAAACAGACACATCATAGCAAACAGACCCACACAAACCCAAGCCTTAGTGGTAACCTCTACCATGGTTGGGTTCTGTGGGGCAGGTGGCTTCCTTTGGGTAGACCAAGGGTCCTGGGGACAGGGCTGGTCTGACAGCCAGTTGTTTGGACATTTCTTGGGCTTCTGCTCAGCTCTTGGCTGGCAGTTTGGGCTCCTGGGAGAGGCACAGGCACTTTCTGGAGCTGGGCTTCTGAGGCCTAGCCCTCTTAGTCACGTGTGTAAAGTGAGCTACTTGGATCTGATGAACTTCCCCTAAGAGTCCCTCTGTCCTGCTTCTCTGACCTCAGGTCTCAATGGGCCACGCACTTCTTACCTGAGGAGTTGGGTGGCTGGCTAGAGGCTCGGGTCCCCGGGGATGGGGAGGTGTTAGGCTCTTCCTAAAACAGGAAAAAGGGTTCTTGTATTAGTCTGCTCAGGAAGGCTGCTTGGGGTTGGAGCAGGAATCCTTTGTTCCAGAGTCACTTACAAACCTATTCCCCAAACCTCAACAAATACGTCTCACTTTCATAACTAGTAAGAGAATACTCATCATCAAAGAACAAAACCCCCAAATCTGGCTGAGTTCACTGCGCTGTGGAGAGCGCTTCCACAGGCAGAGGCTGCCGGAGGACAGCAGAGCTTCCTTGCGGCCTCAGCCCTAAGCCCAGACTCCTTACAGGGGAAGAGGCTTTGCACATCCTCCGATTAGCCACGCAACCTGGGAACCTGGGGAGCCCTGGGCTGGCCTTTTTTTTTCTTTCTTTTTTTCTTTCCAGTCCTGGGGCTTGAACTTAGGGCCTGGGCACTGTTCCTGAGACTCTTTTGCTCCAGGCTACCACTCTACCACTTGAGCCATGGCACCACTTCCAGCTTTTTCTGTTCACTAAGGAATCGAGCCCACAGTTTCATGTGTGCTAGGCAAGCAATCTACCACTAAGCCACCTTCCTACCCCCTGGGCTAGCATTTTCATTGGGGTAGAATTGGTCCTTGGAGTGGTTATGTAATTGGCCATCAGCCAGCAAGTGGCAGAGTACCTGTCTGTCACATGACTCTAATTTCAGGGCTCCTATCTTCTTTTATATAATACTTTTTTTCTCCATTAACTATAATCCACTGAAGAGAATTTGGAAAATACTTAAAGTGAAAAAAAAATAAGCTGGCCACCTATGTGTCTTTCTACTTTAACCTTGCGTGGAGCTTCTGCAGGAAACCTTGCATTTTAGAGGCAAGAAGGATTACAGGGATGCAGGCAGCTGGCTGTGGTGGCAGTATGCCTATAATGCCAGCTACTAGAGAGGCTGATGCATAAGGATCAGTCTTGAGAAGGGCAACCCTCGCTGCATACCAGACACTGCTTTAACAACAAACACCTGAACAAAACAAATAAGATGGGGGAGGGGGTGGGCAAAAGAAAAAAGAGAAGGAAACGATGGAATGTGAGGGAAAGAGCTCCATCTTAGGGTTGAAGGCTTCAGAATCCCTTGGTTGTGGCTTGAGAAGCTGGGGCCACAATGCACCAGCAGCGACGTATGAGAAGCCAGCACCAATCTAAGGGAGGCAATGTCTGAGGGAATGTGGCTGTCTGCTACTACCCGCAGCCCTGCCTCAGGGGATGTTGGCCTTCCATAAACAGGTGGCAAGTTATTGAGGGCCAAACTTCATAGTGGGTGCCAGGCATGGTGGCCCAGTGAGGAGGTCCAACGTGGCTCCCTGGCCTGTGGTCTGGCAGGAGATGGAGTCTGCCTGGCATCTTGCCCATGTGCAGGGCTCAGAAGCACCCTGGGAGAAGAGCCAGGCCGCATGAAGGGCTCTCCCCAGCTTTGGGATCGGGGAGGCTGTGTCTGGGATCAGGGTTCCTGTAGAAATGCAGGCCGAGCGAAGCTGGTTGGCAGAGGCAGGGGGAAGCGCAGTGGTCAGGCCCAGCACAGCTGCATGCGGCACAATGTGGGGAGCGCGTGGCTGGATGGAGAGGATGAGGCAGGAAGTATATACTCGTCCCTGGCGGCTGTGTTCTCTCTCATTCTGCCACTGAGGTGCGTTTGAAGCTGAGACTAGTGCTTACTACAAAGTTAACCCAGAGCAAAGAAAACTGACTGCCCTGAATGCAAGTGGATGTGGGCGCTGTGCTAGCATGCTAGCCTCCAAGATGCCCACCAATGACAAGAGCCTGGGGTTCCAGAATACTCCACCACAACTCACCATCAGCTCCTGTTGGGCTCAGTGGACTCACGAGGAGTCTTTAGGGTCAGAAATAATAGGGAAATAAACCCACTCCAGCTGCCACTATAATTCTTCTATAGCAGGTACTCTGACCCCCAAATCCCTTGCTGAGACACAGTGTGTCTGAGCACCCTGGGACACAGGGGAGGTAGACTCCTTTGTTCCTGAGGGTTCTGGGCTGCTCTCAGAACTTCTGGCTGGTTTTGGCCTTTCTACCTGGCCTCCATGTCCTCAGGGCTGCAGCTCCAAGGATGGGGCACCGTCTGGTATACAGAATGCTGTGTGTGTGTGTGTGTGTGTGTATGTGTGTGTGTGTGTGTGTGTGCCCCTCCTACAAAGCAGTGAAATGCCACCATGCGTGTCCAAACAAGATACACGCCAGTACCCCGAAGGCCTAGCTGGCAGCTTTGCTTACTCTGGGAGCAGCCCCAGGAGTGGGCAGTGAGGAAGTGCCTACCGTTTGGCTCTCATCTTCCTTTCTGTCAGCAGGCTTATCTGTCTGGGAGGCTGCTTTTCTCCTAAACACAGGGAGGAAAAAAGACATAAATCAGCTCCTGTCTGCCTCTGTGTGGGACCCACCCAGTCCCTCAGGGAAGGAGTTCACAGTGTGTATGTTTTGGTAGTACTGGAGTTGGAACTCAAGGCCTTATACTCGCTAGACAGGTACTGTGCCACTTGAATCACAGTCCCCACCCTCCTACCCTTCTATGAGGCCCTTGCAGCTTTAGCTCGGGTCCGCCTCTTCCCTGTCCCGTCCTCAGGACAGTGGCTTCTCTGCCTTCCCAGGGGCCTGAGCACGGCTCTCCGCCTCTGCTGTTCTGCCTGAAGGACTCTCCCTCGGCCTTAGCTTGCATTCTTCCAGGAGTAATGGAAGTAGCCCCACGTGGGTACAGCCACAGTAACCGCTCACAGGACTCAATGCACTGCCTTGTGAAGGTTATTGATGTCTTGGCAATTTCTGTCTGTCCAGACCCAGCGGGGGTTTTGGGAGGGGTGGGTGCTGGGGATTGCCTTACTGCCAGCAGGGGCCCAGGCTGCCCTGCACAAAGCCCCAGCCGAGCTATCTGTGCCCGTAGGCCTCCGTCTCCTCACTTCAGCCCCACAGACCCTCCCGTGTTTCACCAGATGGAACTCAAGGCACAGAGATGTCACTCAAACTGGCCAGCCTGGGAGGTGGCCGGAAATGCCAGGGACTGAGAAGGCAGCAGGGGCCGAGGACACAGGCCCCCGTCATCGCATCTGCCACGTGCTTATTCAGACAACAGTGCGTGATCTGGAGAAGGCCTGCTCCTGTCCCTCTGGTGCCTGGCTCGCCAACAGCCTTCGTCGCTCTGGGTTAGCACATTCCTGGTGTCGGCCACACGTAGAGCATAACACAAGCTTTGCATCCCCTCGAAGAGCTGCACTGTCTCGCCACCTGCTCAGGTTTCCTCCATGGAAACAAAAGAGCCATAGTATCAGGCTGATGGGCATGGGCAGGCTGGAGCCACACCTGGGGTGGCTGGAAGAGTGGATGACCCAGCAGGCTCAGAGCCAACCACAACACAAAGCAAAGTGTTCACGCCTCATGTCCTCAGAGTGGCGCCTGGGCTCTTGCCACTTTACTACTCCTCCCTGGCACCCTCCACAGTGAGCAGGAGGAGGTGAGCACCTTCGTCCACCAGCCGCAGAAAGCTGGGTGACACATCTGCATGGGGGATCCTAAATGCAGGCCTTTCCTTCTGCCACCTACCCCCCCCCCCCCCCCCCCCCCAGTGTATCTCTGGAATGATCTCCAGACCTAGCCCTACTCAGGACAGGCCTGGCACGCAGCAAAGGCTCCATGAAATCTTGGAACACTAAAAGGAAGAGAAGTTTAGAGTTTAGAAGTCTAGCTTTGGGTCTCAGATGAACTCCTTGAGTGGGAAAAACTGAAGATACTATTTGGCTTGCTTGGCTGAACCTGGTGACACAGGGTCACTGCACAGGACGCCGAGGGAGAGCAGCTGCCCGCGGCGGGTGAAGCCGCCTGCACTCCTCAGACTGCAGACACAGGACCCACCTCTTGGCCAGCAGTTTGTTCATCTCCTCCATGAGGCCTCCGCCGCCGCCCCCGCTGCTTGCCCTGTTGGCATCAGACTTTGAGGTCCCGCTAGGACTGGAGCCTCCAGATGCATCTTCTGGCTGAGGATAAAGGAAGCATGTCTCAGACGCTGGTGTGGTGGCAGGAGACATAGCAGCCCCTCGCCAGGAGAAACAAGATGTGTACCAATGACTCTCACAGCAATAATGCCACCTCAGGGTGAGGTATCTAGTTGACTTCCCCAACCCAGGACACAGGCAACATTCTTGGGGCTACAGGCTTGAGCCAGCGCCCTTGCCAGTACCAGCTGTAACATGAGGAGAGGGGGAAGGCACAGTTCTGTGGAAGGGGACTGAACTTTAGACCTATGATCCACATCGAGGCACTGCAAAGAGCACACACGTGGGGAAGGAAGGCCTGGAGGGGTGGGAGGGAGGCTGGGGTGGTTTCTAGGAGATAACTGAGTGATAAGGAGCAGTGGAAAGCCAAGAACTTGGAAGACATGGAGCTTGAGTCCAAATTGCAGTTCATAAACTGCATCACCGGAACAGGTCATTTAAACTCCCTGTGCCTCGGTTTCCTCACCGACAGAGGAAGATTCGTGCACTCCAGTTCTGAAGGCAAAGGAGAGGACAGGAACAGTTTAATGTAACTAAGGCTCCTTAGCGTTTACGAAGCCCTGCCCACAGACCTTTTAGTGCAAGTTGTAGAAGGTCAGCTAGAGCTGGGGCAGGCTGGTGCCTGGCATCTCAAAGATGGCATCTGATGGCCTGGCACAGATTCTGCAGGTGAGTCAGGGAGTGGTCTGTTCACGGAGCCCGGTCTCTTACCCGCTGTACCCTCCTCAGCTTGGCCCCGGCCAGGGCGGCAGCCAGTCCTGATGCAGAACCCTCGTCGTGGCTGGCCCCCTGGGCTCCTCCAGCTGGCAGGGGCGGCGGTGGGGGGGGAGTGGCCCCTGTGGGTGGAGGTGGGACTGGGGGTGGGGGTGGGGGTGGAGGCCCACTACAGGAGAGTGGGGCGCCGGCCGCAGATGAGGGATGTCCCGGTGGGAGAATGGGCCCTGAAACACAATTGGGGAAGGGGTTTTCAGCTGCCCAGCCTGCTGGTCTCCCTCTGGTCCCTGGGAACAGGGACAGAGGGCATCTTGGACTGCAAACAATGAGGTTCAGTCAAGGTCTGCTTTCTCCAGGAAGCCTCCATGGAATGAACTTGGCGCTGATACAATTATTCCCTGCTCTGGTCTGTTTAGCATCTGGGGCCCAGAAGAACTCAGCGTCACACAAGTGCTTAACATTCCTTGAGCTCAGTGAACTTATTCTTGCTCCAGCAAGGCTTCTCCAGTGGGAGAGAGAGTTACTTCTAAGTACTCTGTACTATGCTAGAGTCGACAGAAGTCACTTCCCAAGATGTGCTGGGGGGCAGGGGTCCGTGCTGAGCCCATTATGCTCTATGTATCCACCCTCCACCTTACACGGCAGGAGCCTCCATGCTGCCCGGCCTGTGCGCTAGGCACTGGAGGAACAGCCACAGCTTTGTGCTCATAGTGAGCAAAGATGAGCGAGGAAAGTCAGCAAGTTATACGGACTGATACAGAATGGGGGCTGTGGCAAACTGACAAGTGACAAGTGCCACCAGGAGCAGGCTCAGAGGCTGCAATGCCTGTGAAGCAGGGCTCCACTCGGCTGAAAGCTCTTCAGAGAACTTCCCCTCCTTGAAGTCAGGCATCAGGCTAGGAAGGAGAAGCAAGGGTGAGCAACCAGGCTTAGAAAAGAGAAGCTCCTCGCCACAGCGGAAGCAGAAGGGAATCCAGGGCAGGCAGCAGCTGCACTAGAGCAGTATTGAGGAGCAACGGAAAGGCCTGGATGGGGCATGACTTAGAAGTGCACCAGGAGTGCGCGGCAGAGACCAGCAAGGCTGTTTTCATATCAGTAAAACTACACACTGTTCACCTGCTTACTTCAGAGACTACATCTGAACAAATTAAACAAGACAGGGATGTAAAAGCACTTGGCAATAAGCAATTTCTATGCCTATCAATGAGTGGCCAATGCCATTGTCTGGTGTGTTTAGCTCCTCAGGCATTCAAGGTCGAAGCCTGGAGACCACTGTCCTGGGCAGTGGTCTTTGACCCAGCCCTCTGCACTTACCATGGCCACAGCCTTCCTTTTGTGTTAGGATGTATGTCTTCTTGGCTGGATAGTGGGCTCCCTGGGAGCAGGGACTCATGCCTGCCCTGCCTCTGGTGTGTCTCAGCCCTCTGCATGGTGCCTGACACACAGGAGATTAGGTGTGTCCTCTTGGGGAAGGAGTGATGGGAGGCCCAGATGGCTGAGCAGAAGCCCGTCTGTGCCTACGTCTTCCTCCCTGATCCATTCCTGAGAGATGGTCACTGGATGTGATCAGCTCAGAGGGCCTACTGTGCCTTGGGTCCCAACCGAGGGGCTGCTTGGAAATGGGTGGGGAGTGCGGCTCAGAAGAGCTCTCACCTGTGGCTGAGGTTCTTCTCTCCAGAGACTCTTGGCGGTGCTGCTGCTGCTCCATCACTTGTCTGAAAAGCAAGCACAGAGGATGGCCTAATCTGTCTGTGTCCAGCGTAACACGCTCTGGGCCATCTGGACTGGTGAACTCAACGTACAGAGTTGATTTCTCAGTCCTTCCCCACTGAGTGGCTGCCTCCACGTAAAAGAGGGGACACGCCGGGCTCAAGTGCCCAAATGGGGAAGGGCTAGCCATCTCCTGAGTTCTGGTACACTAGCAAAGGGCTGCACAGCGGGGGAGAACTTCTGACTGACTTGATTTCATTCATTGGACTGAGACTGATCAGGCTTTTCCTTTAGGCCACAGATCCCTAGCCATTTCTGGCCCCAGGAAGGTCTGTTCTTAGTGTACCTGGCTGACCTCTGTGAGACAATTCTTAGGGACTATTGCTTGTCAGGAGAAGGCCACACACCATATCATTTCTACTGCACACCCACTGCAGGACAGACCTCTTTGGTTCTGCTGTACAATGTCACATGCATCTCAATGGGACCAATATCCTAGTACTCTAATGGCCTTGGGTGCTCTCAGATGCTGAATGAGTAAGGACAGTGATCCCTACGGATATCCTCTGAGTGCAGTGGTGAATGGTAGAAAGGAGAGGCCTTCTGGTATCACCTAGGAATGATAGCAGGGCTGCACACTCCACCCGTGTGCTACTGAAACCCAGGGTTGAGTGTTCCCAGGCCGGCACTGTTGAAAGCAGGCTGTGTCTGTGTGTTGGCCATGGACCTAAAGCCTTGGACTGAAGTGAGTTCTGGGTCTCTGGTGTGCAATAGGTGCTCAGTCAGTGTTTTCTGAAGTAGAAATACATGAATCTCATCTAGGAAAGGAGCTTTTTAGTCACTTCTCTGAGATTCATGGCTTCATGATCAGAGACAAGTCATTTCCTGTTATAAGCCTCAGAGGCCTGGGTATAAAATGAGTACCATGGCCTGCAAGTAGTATGTGGGTATGTGAAGAGCTCCCACCAGCATCTGCATCAGCTTCTACATCCAAACTGCCTGAATTCCAACTTCCTCCACAGGATCACTCAGGAATCCACAGTAAAATGAAGACCTTGGAAAAATCAGGTCTTAGACTGGGGATGCAGTGTAGTGGTAGAGTGCTTGTCTAGCATGTATAGGGTGTTGGTTCTATCTGTAGAACTGCAAAAAACAAAAACAAAAACAAAAACCAACTCTTCTGAAGTTATGACTGTGCACTATGAGCTATACCTCTCTCCTGGAAAACGAACTGTGGCACTGAGGGCTTCCGTACTTCAAAGTATGACCACCAGGGGGCGCTCTGGTCTGGCGCATGTTCTTTGCAGCCCACCTTGGGTTCAAAATAGGGCAGTTTAATGGAAGGACCTATATAACAGCAGTAAGTCTCTGCATTTTTGCCTCTCCATGCCTTCTTCTGGGTAAAGGCTTCCTGGGACCTGGCAGGGGCTTGAAACTGAAGTCAGACTTAGCTGCTGGCCTTCTTGTGCTCAGGCTACATTATGCTTCGGCCTCCTATTGTCAGGAGGTGAGCCATTTCCATTCTGAGCCTCAGCTAGCTTATCTGGGAAAAGCTAACAGTAATAACAACCACTAATGGTTACTGTGAGGATTGAAATAATACAAAAGCACCCAAAGATCTTCCTAAGTTGCAAAGTGCTATAGTTCTGAGGGCAGATCAGTGAACACCTGTGAACTGACAGAAGCACATGCTCATCTAATACCTCAGGCAGAGCAAGGTTAACAACATCTTCAAAGGAGGTAACAGGGTAAGAGCAATGGCTTGCCCAGGATAATGACACAGCATGTCAGAGACAGAAGGCTTAGGGATCCTTCACCCGAAGGCATCTTGGAGAGGCCAAGGAAGAGAATGTGTTAAATCTCACACCAGTTGATGGGTGGCAGGCACCAACTCCCTGCTGTTCAGCGCTGCAATGGCACTTGCCTACACACCTGGAGTAGGGTGTCTCACCGCCTGGGCTGGGCCTCACTTCCCTCGACAAGCGCTCTAGATCTGAGGCACAGGCTGTTCGAAGCAGATCACCAGGCATAGAGATGGCAGACTGGGTCTGGGGGTATTTCCTTGGGGAGGATGCTACAGACCTCTGGTGTGATCTCTGGACATAGCACAGTGCTCCCTTCCCGGCAGGGGAAGGATCACAGCCCAGGGAGCTGTCTCCCGCAGGCTGTGCCCTCTAGGTCATAACTACCTCCTCTGGCACTTGGGAAGGTTAAATTAAATGGTGACTGACCAGCACATGCACATTGTCAGTCTCAGCATAAGGGCTATATTCCGGAGGTCAGGGTGCTCACTATAAAACACCGGGACCTCCACGGGCCTCTGGGACTCCATATCCAGGAAAGGCTGCCTGTAGTAGAGCTCTCCCTCGTTTCTGGTCTGGCCTGTTGCCCCTGCCTTGAGTGTGTCCTCCCCAGCACTATGGAGGAGGTATCGGGCTGGCAGCTGTGGGTTACCTTCTCTGCATGTCCATCTCCTCAGGAGAGGGGCCATTCTGCACCTGACGCTGAGTGGAGGGGCCTGCGGAGCAGAGAAGCAGAGTGGAGCAGTCAGTAGAGGGAAGGAAAGCCCTGCAGGTAACCATGACTACAACTCCCTCCCCACGTCCCTCCTGGCGTCTCTTTCCCAGTGGGCCCTCCCACCTGTGCACGACTTTGTCCCACCCAAGTCAATCACCACTTCTCCCTTTCCTGTGGCTCCATGCTGAGCCAAACTATTAGCTGTTGGCATCGCTTTCATTCCCTTCAAATGATATTTGATATTTCTGCCTCCTTACTCTCTATTGTCCCCACAACTCCTTAACCCTAGCTCTAGCCTAAAACCACCATGACAGTGGCCCAAACCAACACGTCTGTGTTATTGTGCATTGAGCACACAAGTGAGCTCGATGGTGGGTGAGAATTTAGGTCTGCCTATGTGCGGGTGGGGGGTCGTCTTTGCCTCATGCCCTGCTGCCTGCACTAGGTTCTGCAGCTGTGCGTGGGGAAGAGCGAAGTCTTGGCATCACTCTACTCTGGATTGCCAGGGAGCCCCTCAGATCACATTCAGCACCTTAGAGACAGGACCTCGCTGTCAAACCTTGCGCTCACAGAAGCGTTGGTGCTAAAAGCCTGTGTCAAGGTTCCCCATGCCTCGAACCTGAGAAAGAAAAGATGGTTCCATCTCTGACAGTTCAGGTGTCCTGTGGAAACCACAGAGTGCCACAGGGACTTGGAGAGGGACTGTAGGCAAACCTAAGATGTCAGCAACACCAAAGCTACACAACTTCAATACTGACATGCGGGAATCTCACCTCAGAAGCTCAGAGAGTTGAGGACCCTTGCCTCCTTGTTCTCAGGAAACAAGCAATTGATATACAAGCCCTATTACATCAGTGTCTGGGCACTTCCTTCCTTCAACTGAATTCTAGTTCTCACAACTAGTGCAGGGAACTTGGAATGGTAGAGAAAACTAACCCAGAAATGAAAATGACTAGTTCAAAGTCTTATTATAACAAGAGGCAGAGGAAGATATTTAGCTACAAAATACCACCTGCTTCTGCTCCGCTTTTTTTGCAGTACTGGGATTTGAACTCAGATCCTCATGTTCTCACTTGGCTTTTTCTCTCAAAGCTAATGCTGTACCACTTTGAGCCACACCTCCACTTCTGGATGCTTGTGCTAGTTAATTGGAGATGAGTCTTACCATCTTTTCTTCCGAGGCTGGTTTCAAATCGTGATCCTCAGATCTCAACCTCCTGAGTAGCTCCAACAGGAGCATCTGGCTCCTCTCTTCCCTCCTCCCCCTTATTTTTGTGCCAGTTCTGTGGCATAACTCAGAGTTTGGGTGCTATCCCTGAACTTCTTTTTGCTCAAGGCTAGTACTCTACCACATGAAGAACCACAGCTCTACTTCTGGCTTTTTGGTGGTTAATTAGAGACAAGAGTCACACAGACTTTCCTGCTCCAGTTAGCTTTAAACTGCAATCCTCATATCTCAGCCTCCTGAGTACCTAGGATTACAGGGGTAAGCTATAGTGCCTGGCTCCCTCCCCCACCCCCTGCCATTTTTGGGCAGGACTGGGGTTTGAACTCAGGGTCTTATGCTTGTTAGGTGCTTTACTTCCAGATATACAGACAGACACAGACATAGACACATGCACATACACGCATACAGCCTCATTTTTCAGACAATAATTTTGCCCAGGCTGACCTCAGACCTAAGTTTTCCTGCCATGGCTTCACAGATAGCTGGGATGACAAATATAAGCACCATATCTGTCTATTGATTTAAGATGGGGTCTTGAACTTTTTGCCTGGGCTGGCCTCAAACTGTGATCCTTCAGATCTCTGCTTCCTAACTAGGCGGAGCTCTAGACATGAGCCAGAATGTGCTTTCATGCTTGGTCAAAAACAATTCCTTTCTTTCTTAAATTCAGCCTCACTGTGGTATCAGATTGAGATTAGCTTGAAGAATAAAGCTGGTGACTCACATGCCACCAGCCAGTCACCTGTAATCCTAGCTACTCAGGAGGCTGAGATCTGAGGATTGTGGTGTTCAAGGTCCTGAGTTTAATTCCCAGAACAGAGAGAGGGGGTGGGAAGAAGCTAAGTCCCTTGGACGGAATAGCCTCTGGTCTATGGCCTGTCCCGTCCCAGGGCTGAAGCCTTGGGTGTCTGGGCTCCACAGGCTGCTCTAAGCTCCTTTGCATCTGCTGACCTGGTATGGTCAGGGTGACTACCTCTGCCCCCAGAGAGCAGCCAGCTGCCCACCCTGTGGTCTGATGGGGCGACTTGCTTTGGATTCCTCCTTCTGCTGGTTGGCCTGCACTTGTTCCCAACATCCTCAGCCAGAATGCTTCTCCAAAGGGCTAGGGAAGGCCAACAGGAGCTCCAGCTTCTCCCAGGCCTGGTTCTGACACTTGAGACACACTTCAAAGTTGGCTGGAGAGCAGAAAAGACAGCACTTGATTGCGTATGGCCCTCCACTATGCCTACTGTCTCTCAACTGGCCAAGCTGCCCCATGCAGAATCTCAGGAGGGACAAAGAGAAGGCCTATTCTTCCTCCCACCCCCTTCAGTCACAGGGCTTGAACTCTGAGTCTGGGCACTGTCCCTTAGCTCTTCAGCTCAAAGCAAGTGCTCTACTGCTTAAGCCATAGCACCACTTGCGGTTTTCTGAGTGGTTTACTGGAGATAAGAGTCTCACAGACTTTCCTGCCTGGGCTGGCTTTGAATCTCAATCCTCAGATCTCAGCCTCCTGAGTAGTTAGGAGTACAGGCATGAGCCTCAGCTGTATGGCCTGAAGGCCCATTCTTTCTTGGCAGTCTGGTCCCTTGGGAAGACCCCAGGCAACAGGGCACTGGTGGGTGCTCCTTCATCAAAGACTCTGTTTTTCAGGCAGGAGCAGCTGCACACAGGAAAGCTCTTGGGTTACTAGTAATCACATGCTTATCTGTTCAGTGCTGAACAATCTCGGGTGTCATCCCTGCAGTACGATTAGAGGCCAAAGTGGAGGACAAGTCACCTCTCACCCCGAGCTGAGATGGGATCCTGCAGAATCCCAGGCAGTGGACAGGAGGGGAACTTGATCCTCCCACTCCACCTTCCATAGCTCAGCAGTTACCGAGTCTTACTGGTTCTATGTGTGCTGCCCCCAGAAACCCTGGGTCTTTCCATCCACTCCTGGCTGCCTCCATATCTCTCTCGTGGACTCATGTCTGGGTTTACCCTTTGCCCCTACCCCTGTCCTTTCTCCATACCTGCCCTGTACATGGACACTACAGCCCATGTGGCCTCGGGGAAACAGAGCTGCCCATTGCAGGTTACCTGATAGGAGTCGAGGCTCCTCGGGCTTGGCTTTAGCCCTTCTGCTTCCTGTTCCCGCTCACCAAGCCTGACCCCAAAGTGCTCCCTACCTCCTCATGTTCTGGGGACTAAGCAATCCGCCTGGGACGCCTTCTTCTCCTGCCATGGTTTCTAGGCTGATCTCTCAGTCCCCTCTGTCACAAAGCCTGCCCAAGTCCCACTCTCCTCTCCATTTCCCCACATGGATGTGGGGAGACTCCCAGCCACCTCTCTCATCACTGCGATCTGAGAGCTAACTTCTCTTCCACACCAGACCCTGAGCTTGAGGGCACAGAGTATAACTCTCACTCATCAGCAACTCTGGAAGGGGTCAGGTTGTAAGCATTATGCCCACCTTTGGTCCTCAGCTCCACCCAGACCTGAGGGCCTCCTAGCTCTGGAGTTCCCGCCATAGAGCTGGCCCCTCCCTCTCTCCATCCAGACCCACCTGAGCTCCCACCTATCTCACTTCCGACCCCCAGACCCTGCTGCTACCTATATATAGTGGAGGGCGCCATGTGCTCCCTCTCCGGAGGAAATATGGCTCCGGTAATAAACCTTTTAACAATCTTTCTCCTGTGCCTGCAGGCCTCTGAGTGGTCCCCTGGGATGCATGTGATGGATCCTTTCACAGGTGAAGAGGCTAGGCCAAACCAGCCTTAAGTGAAAGTACAGACCATCTAATAGGTGAGGCTCAGCAATACAGGCTAAGAAGGGGCTTTGGTTTGAACATTGCCACTAAAAACTCTTGTTGAGAATTTAACTGCATTGTAATGGTATTAAAGGTTGAGACTGTTAAAAAAAAAAAAAAAAAAAAAAGACCAGCCAGTGCTGGTGGCTCACACCTGTAAGCCTAGCTACTCAGGAGGCTGAGATCTGAGGATCGCGGTTCAAAGCCAGTCCAGGCAGGAAACTCTGTGAGACTCTTATCTCCAATAAAACCACTAGAAAACCGGAGGTGGTGCTGTGGCTCAAGTGGTAGAGCACTCGCCTTGAGCTGAAGAGCTGAGGGACAGCGCCCAAGCCCAGAATTCAAGCCCCATGACTGACAAAAAAAGACCAGGCCATGAGTATTCCATTCATTAAGTGTATATATCTGTTTGTCTTTCCTTTTTTGGTACTGGGGATGGAACCCAGGATATTGCACTTGCTAGGAAAGTGTTTTGCCACTGAGCTACATCCCAATCCCATTCTTATATATAGAATTTGGTGATATTATAAAAGGCTGAGTTTAGTCCCCTCTGGCAATTCTCTTGCCTTCGCTGTTGCAGCAAGAAGATCTCACCAGATACCACATCTTTACTTTGGGAATTCCTAGATTGTGGAACAAAGCCAGTAAGTTCCTAATGATAAACTAATTCATCTTAAGTGTTCCATTACAACAGCATAAAGGAGACTAAGAAAGAAGGGACCCTTCACATTCATGCTTGTTCAGAAAAGAGGCCAATCAGAGGTGGGTTCTATTCTTGCTAGGTTGATGAGAAGCCCTGGGGCCCAGCTGAAGAGAAGGGGCTGCTAACCCAGCCTTTGTTTCCCATGTCTTTCTGCCAAGGGCCTCTCTAGCTCTTCACCAGCTGTGAGATGTCTGGAGACATCTGCTGTGGTCACGTGGTCATCCTTCTCTGAACAGCAAACACAGGAGGGCACTCATCTGAGGACCATCCCTTAACCAACTTGTTCCCAGGAGCAGCTTG